CGACAGAGAACATTGCATGCAACTTGTCCAAGTCCCAGCCCCGTCCATCATGTGCAAGCAGGCCCGCCACCTTGGTAATACCTTGGATGTATAGCTGACCCAGTGGCCGCATACTCCCCGTCCTTGGGATCCAGTTGGCGTGGTGGATCTGCACCGAGCTGCCATCTCCAATGCGCCATACAAGCCCTCATTTAGTAAGTCCCTCCCATGGAGAATGCTTTTAAAGGTGAACGACGCGGAGGGGGGTGCTGTTGTAGATAAGATCGAACCGTCCTCAAAATAACGAGCTTTAAGCACCCTTGCGCAAAGAGATGTTGGCACCTGTAGAATTCTCCACACTTGTTTAACCAGCAAAGCTTGGTTGAAGGCCTCAGGGTCACGAAACCCCATGCCACCATCTCGCTTGCCTGCACACATTTTTTCTAAGATATCCAGTGTACCTTGCGTTCACCATTCGTTGCCGCTCACCAAAATTTAGAGGAGATCAAAGTCAGGTTCCGGCACGTCTTCTTCGCGAGCTGAAAACAACTCATGGTGAAAGTGGGTACAGCTTGTAACCCAGATTTGATCAACACTTCTCTCACGGCTTTTGATAGACCTTGTCCCTTACATCCGCTAGCTTTGCCTTTCGAGCTTTCTATCACATATCTGAAAGTACCCTCCTTAGACTTCCCAACCAGTGTTGGTAGTCCGAGATATCGCTCACTAAGAGCTTCTGAATGAACTCCCAATATATTCTTTATTTCCTCCTTGTCATCCTCCTAATGACCTTTCCCAAAGAAGATAGAAGATTTTTGCAAGTTAACTCGTTGGCTCGATGCCTCTTCATATCTCCTTAGTATATCCCTCAATGTCACCATGTTATCATGTGACCCTTCTAAGAACACAATATTGTCATCTGCAAAGAGAAGGTGGGTAACATGGGGGCCAGTGCACCCAAATTTCACCCCCTTCACCTTCCCCTCCTCTTGAGCTTTTTTTAGCATCGCAGAAAATCCTTCCACACAGAAGAGAAAGAGATAGGGGGATAAAGGATCACCCTGTCGGAGCCCCCTGGAAGGGGAAAAACCTCGTGAGAGTCCATCATAGAGCATCTCCAACAGCCGCGCTAAACTAGCGCCGCGCCGCAAATTAGTCGGTTTTAGCGTGCGCGCAACGCGGCGGGTCGCTCCAGCGGGAGCGCAAAATCGGCGCGTGCGCTATAACGAGTTGGGCGCGCTGTCGGAAACACTGCCCCGCGCGGTGTATTTCAGGCGCCTGCTACAGCGCGTGGCACACTCGACCGCTCACGCTGCACTCTCTCCTCTCCTCCTCCTACGCCCCGCGCGCGCCGGCGCCGGTGCCCTGCCACCCATGGACGCGCACACCGGCACCCCGCTGTACAACCGCGACCCCCCCCCTACCGCCGCCGCCACCGCCGCCGCCGGAAACCCTGTTGGGGAACGTTGCATAAAATAAAAAAATTCCTACGTTCACCAAGATCAATCTATGAGTTCATCTAGCAACGAGAGAGAGGAGTGCATCTACATACCCTTGTAGATCGCGAACGGAAGCGTTCAAGAGAACGGGGTTGAGGGAGTCGTACTCGTCATGATCCAAATCACCGGATACTAGCGCCGAACGGACGGCACCTCCGCGTTCAACACACGTACGGTCAGCGTGACGTCTCCTCCTCCTTGATCCAGCAAGGGGGAAGAAGAGGTTGATGAAGATCCAGCAGCACGACGGCGTGATGGTGGATGCAGCAGGGATCCGGCAGGGCTTCGCCAAGCGACTACGGGAGGGAGAGGTGTAGCAAGGGGGGAAGGGAGGCGCCAGGTGTCAGGGTGCGGCTGCCCTCCCACCGCCCCCCTCTTTATATAGGGACCCCAGGGGGCGCTGGCCCTAGGAGATGGGATCTCCTGGGGGGCGGCGGCCAAGGGGGGAAACTTGCCCCCCAAGGCAAGTGGAGGCGCCCCCTCCCCTAGGGTTCCCAACCCTAGGCGCAGAGGGGGGCCCGGGGGGCGCACCAGCCCACCAGGGGCTGGTTCCCCTCCCACTTCAGCCAATGGGGCCCTCCGGGATAGGTGGCCCCACCCGATGGACCCCCGGGACCCTTCCGGTGGTCCCGGTACAATACCGGTGAACCCCAAAACTTTCCCGATGGCCGAAACTCGACTTCCCATATATAATTCTTTACCTCCGGACCATTCCGGAACTCCTCATGACGTCCGGGACTCCGAACAACTTTCGGTTTACTGCATACTCATATCTGTACAACCCTAG